GGTTCGCAAATTAGCATTAAAAAATTAAAGAATAAAAAAGCAATATATGAAAGGAGTTAAGAAAAATGGAATTTTAAAAGACATTAATTTAAAGGAATTAGGTCTAGAAAAAAATCCGCTATTATTAAATGATTATCAAAAAACGTTAAAGTCAAAATGAAGCAGTGGCATGACAGCAAAAGAAATGGAGAGTAAAAATGAGGAAATTTTTCTTGCTGAAAAAATGTATTCTCCAACTCTTGAGAAAAGACAAATTAACAAAAATTATATAATGGCGCCTCCTAATAAAAGCAAATTTTCGTCTCATTTAAATTTTGTAACAAAAATCGAGAATGACACCGGTATTTTTATCGACAAAGAAATTGACTACGAAAAAAAGCATTATGAAAAAGAATTTGTTCCTCCTCTACAAGAACCAAAAAAAGTATTAATTCCTTGTGCTTTTAAAAAATTTTTCTCTAAAACTGTCAAAGAGGATATTTTAAAAATGGCTGTGGAAAATCCCAAAAGGTTATCTGAGTTAGTGGAAAATTCTCGAAAAGAAATTACCAACGAGGCTCTTTATTTTCTAAATAGTCAGGTTGACTACCAAATTAGGGAAATGATTTGTCAACCTAATAATTACAACAAACAAGCCCTAATTTACAAAAAAGGAAAAGATTTTCAAAAAATCGAGGAAGTGTTAAAATGAATAATTGATAAATCTTTTGAAATGCAATATTCTTCAACAAAATGGAATAAGGCTGGCAAAAAAACTTTTACTCGGGAAAAAGAATTAATTCTAATAATCAACCTTACTCTCTATAAAGAAATTGAGATTGAAGAAGAAAAAGTAAAAGAAAGCAAAGATGGCAAAAATTCTCGTTTTTTCCCCTTGCCACTTTATAAAATATGAGGATGCTTTTCAGCAGTAATTAGTTATCCCTTAAAAAATGACTTTCAATTTATTATTACCGACCAAAAAACTCTGCTTGGCTGGGAAAAAAGTGGGGAAATGAAAATTAAATATGATGAAACTAATAAACTTACTTATTTCTTAAAAGAGGTGAGTGGTGGTTTTAAATTCTTGGATTATTCTAATTCAACTGCTTTTATTAAAAAAAATTAATGTCCCACAAAATCGGTCTGGTCGGTTTACCAAATGTCGGTAAATCCACTTTATTTAATTTTTTAACAAAAAAAGATATTTTGGTTGCTAATTATCCATTCGCAACTATTACTCCTAATGTGGGGGTAATGCTACTTGCTGATTCTCGCTTGGAAAAATTAAGCAAATATTGGCAAAGCAAAAAAACGACTCCGAGCGTTATTGAAATCGTTGATATTGCCGGTTTAGTGAAAGGGGCCGCCCAAG